TCCTTGCAGATGGCCAATTCTTGACAAAGATTCCCTCTACTCTAAGTTACTGAATATTCCTAAGCAAATTCCAGTTAGTGCATACACTGCTACTTACACAATGCCAGACCCACATTTATCACAAATGGGCAGTTTCTGCGCATTTCCAATTGACGATGCTATTTTAGTTGTCGGAGCTTTTACACTTCTAAATCCAGAAGGCTTGTCTCCTGTAAAAGTTTAAAAATATAAAAGTAATTATTTTTATCTGAAATGATGCCTGGAGCATGGAAGTAGAACTATAACTCAGCCTACTGTAGGGGAAAAATGCTGCAATATCATCTGATATTTCATCTAGCAGAAATACTTCATCAATGTTGCTGAGAGGTGTCCAGTCTAAAATACACATATTGAAAAATCCTATGTGTGAAATAGCCTGCTTTAAAATATGATAAAATAATTTTGTCATTTTTACATTTCCGAGAAAACAGAGGAAATGGAACTGCTGTGTTTTATAATAGAGTGTTTACACATATATAAAAACCTAAGAATCATCCCAAAGATTCTGAGAAATTTGGAGAAGATAATTTCAAGGTGGTTGAGGGATTGAGTGGGAAAACAAAAGAGAACTGTTAATCGGCTTCAGGATTGTAAGAATTTTTAAACACCTGCCTCCAACTGTTTCAGGCTTCGAATTTAATTAATAGGAGCCCACAGTGGCGCAATGTGTTAAACCAGTGATTCTCAACCTGTGGGTCTCAGATGTTTTGGCCTTCAACTCCCAGAAATCTTAACAGCTGGTAAACTGGCTAGGATTTCTGGGAGTTGTAGGCCAAAACATCTAGGGACCACTGGGTTAAATCCTTGTGCCGGCAGGACTGGTGGTTTGAATTTGGGGGGTGCGGTGAGCTCCCTTCTTTCAGCTTCAGCTTCCCATGCAGGGACACGAGAGAAGCCTCCCACAGAATGGTAAAACATCTGGGTGTCCCCTGGGCAATGTCCTTGCAGACGGCCAATTCTCTCACACCAGAAGTGACTTGCAGTTTCTGAAGTCACTCCTGACATACAATAATAATAATAATAAAACTTTATTTCTATTCCGCTCTATCTCCCCAAAGGGACTCCGGGCGGATTCCAAACATAAAAGGTAAACATTCAATGCCCGAATACAACAACAATACATCCATACTAACAAAATTTATACAACCCAACATATAAATATGAATTATAACTTAACAAACTAAAATTAAATAAAAAGCACGCCTGTTATAACAGACATAAGACAAAACATCAAAAAAGACAAAAAAGCTTAACTAATACTGCATTAGTTAAAGCAAAGGAAGGGAAACACATCTGACTCTCAGCAATAAGGGAGAACTGCTAAGGGTACCCAGACAGTATTGCCAGGATCACTATTATGCCCTCAGGTCACCAAGCTATTTGCTTCATTTGGGGGGGGGGGGGGGGGGCACAATACAGGACAAGTTTTTAAGGATTTTCATCCAGGACCACAGTGTATGTCCTTGAAGATTAGTGTAGCTTCATGATATCTGGATTAGAGAAAGGCCCATCCAGATCAAAAGCTATGACATCTTAGCATAATATCATAAAGCAACAAAAGATATATGCAGGAGGACGCTTACCCCTTTCTTCAGATTCTAAAATGTCTTGCAGCACCAAGAATGAGGCTGATTGCCGGGGCGGCTCACTGGAGTCTTGGTTCTCCTGTAGCATCTTATAAACTTCAGAGTCTTTTTCAATCCTTAAGTTAGTAGAGGGCTGGTTGGGTTGGTCCGAGCTGCACAAAATTAAGACAAACATCTTCAATGGACAAAATAAAAGATCTATTGATTGATTTACTTTATTTATATCTTACCTGTCTCCCTGTGGGGCCTCAAATTTGATACTGAAAGAGCATCTGATTCAATAAGCATATTTGGTTCAGACATTTAGATTACAGTAAAGGACACGTACACACGAGAACCATTTACTCTCAGTCCATGATTGCAGTTTAAAAAGTCTCATTTGGGAGAAAGAAAGCAGGATATTAATACTACTACTAAAAAAAATTAAAATATTATAGAGCAAAACAATTTCTAGGCACTATTTACAAAGTGCAAATATTTTATTCTAGCATTTTGGGTATCTTTGACTATTGAATTACTTGGATCTCTGGACTGTAATAAGGCCTAGACTGATTGATTGATTATACTAACATGCCTTCATTGAAAAATGGTTTTGAAATGCTGTTTTTAACAAGTTTGCCTTTGTTTAAAATATTTTCCAAGCACTACAAAACAAGGAAAATGTTCTTGCCATTCAGGAACACGCAATCAAAGCACTCCTGTCAGATGGGCAGTCTGCCTCTGCTTAAAAAACCTCCAGAGAAGGAGACTCTTCCACCCTCCAAGGCAGCATATTTCGCTGCCGAACAGCTCTTACCATCAGATTTTTAGATTAAATATTTTTTCCTTCAATCTTAATCCATTGTTCCATGTCCCGGTCTCCACAGCTCACATTGCCCTCTCCTCAATGTGACATATTTCAAATATTTAAACAGGGCTATCATGCCTCATCTCTGCCTTTTTGTCTCCAAGCAAAACATGTCCAGCTCTTTCAGCCGTTCCTCATAGCGTTCGGTTTCCAAATCTTTGATAATTCAGGGTGCCCTTTTCTGGATACGTTCTGGCTTGTCAATATCCTTGAATGGACATAGTATTCCAGGGAAGGTCTGACCAAATCAGAATACAGTCAGACTATGAATTACCTTGATCTAGAGATACACCCTAGAATCAGATTGGCTTTTCTAGCTGCTGTATCTCACTATTGACTCATACTCAATTTATGGCCAACAAGACTCCTAGATTCCATTCACATGTACTGTATTCAAGCTGGGTTTCACCCATCCTATATCTATGCCTTTTATTTTTATTCCCTAAGACTAGTACCATACATTTTCCCTGTTGAAATTCATTTTGTTAGTTTTGGCCCAACTCTAATCCAGGGGTCCTCAAACTTTTTAAACAGAGGGCCAGGTCACAGTTCCTGAAACAGCTAGAAGGCCGGATTATATATTGATAAAAACATGAATGAATTCCTATGCACACTGCACATATCTTATTTGTAGTGCAAAAAAACACTTAAAAACAATACAATAATTAAAATGAAGAACAATTTTAACAAATATAAACTTATTAGTATTTCAATGGGAAGTGTGGGCCTGCTTTTGGCTGATGAGATAGGATTATTGTTGCTGTTGTGTACTTTCAAGCTGTTTCAGACTTAAGTTTACCCTGAGAGAGGGCCAGATAAATGACCTTGGAGGGCTGTATCTGGCCCCCAAGCCTTAGTTTGGGGACCCCTTCTCTAATCTGTTAAGATCATCTTGGGTACTGATCCTGTCTTCTGTGGTATTACCTTTCCCTCCTAATTTGAAGTCATCTGCAAATTTCATAAGCATGATTTCTAAGGTAAAGGTAAAGGTTTTCCTCTGACATTAAGTTCTGTTGTGTCCAATTCTGGTGCTCATTTCTAAGCCAAAGAGCCAGCGTTGTCTGTAGACATCTCCAAGGTCATGTGGCCAGCATGGCTGCACGGAGCGCCGTTATCTTTCCACTGGAGCAGTACCTATTGATATACTCATATTTGCATGCTTTCAAACTGCTAGGTTGGCAGAAGCTGGGGCTAACAGCGGGAGCTCACGCCACTCCCCAGATTCGAACCTGTGACCTTTTGGTCAACAAGTTCAACTGCTCAGTGCTTTAACCCACTGCACCACCGGGGGCTCCAAACATTCATCCAGGTCATTCATAAAATATGTAGTGGGCCCACTACAGAACCCTGTGGCACCTCACTAGTCACTCTTCTCCAGGATGAGGAGGAACCACTGGTGAGCACTCTTTTTGGGTTCAGCCAGCTAAACAATTCCCTATACGCCTAACAGTCCACATCTTACTAGTTTCTTTTTGGGAATACCATGGACCTTACTGAAATTGGAATATGCGATATCAACAGCATTCCCTTCACTACCAAGTTTGTAATCCTATCTAAAAAAGAGATAAGGTTAATCTGCATAACTTTTTTTTTTAATATCTCATGTTGACTTTTTGTGATTATGCCATTCCTTTCTACATGCTTACAGATTGTCTGTTTAATGATCTGCTCCAGAATCTTTCCTGGTATTTATGTCAGGCTGACAGCGGTAATTGTTTGGGTCCTCTTCCTCCCCCGCTTTTTTTCCTTGAAGATTGGGACAATATTTGCCTTCTTCCAATTTGCTGGGACCTCTCCTGTCTGTCAGGAATTCTCAAAGCTTGTTGACAGTGGATCTGAAATTACTTCTGTTAATTCTTTTAATGTCCTTGGATGTAATTCATCTTGGCCTGGAGACAGATATTCCTATACTGCTTTGTTACCATTTCCATTACTGCATCCTCTGCTCCATTACCCCCAAATTGAGTATTGTTAACATTTTGAGAAAAGACTGAGGCAAAGAAGGTCTTGAGCAGGTCTGCCTTTTCTCTGTTCCATGTTAGCATTTGGCCATCACCTGCATGCACCTAGTATTTCCTTGTTCTTCCTTTTGCTTGCTATGGACATATAAAAAAGGCCCTTTTAAAACATTTTTAACCTTTCTATTAAGTCTACATAAGTCTTTCAATGCCATCCATTAAGTATGCAGCATGTGATTGGTGCAAAGCCATGACAAATACCAAAGGCAATAACACTGGAAACAATTGTGTTCAAAATGCAGCATAGCGAAAACTATCTTTCCAGCTTGTTTGAATAAACTAGTGACGGAATAATTCAGTGCCACAGCATGCATGACAGAAAAAGAAAAGTGTCAAAGACTATTGAGACAAACTTCATGCCAACATAACATCTGTGTCCTAACATGCCAACATAATCCCTGCATCCCTCCCCCCGACAGAAATAAATATTCAAAGGTTCATCCCTGTTTCCTGCCCCAACTCATCCCCGATCCCTCAATGGCCCCCCTCCAAGCATCCTTTACTTTACTCAATATGCTTTATGTTCAGTGACCAGAAAGAAGTATCCATATATTTGCTTCCATATGATTTTTTAATGAACGGACAAGATCATCCTATGAACATGTATGTCAAGCTTTAATTTGGGCCCTTACAATCGGGGGCACAGTGAGATTCAGGACCCATTGAACATCACAGATTTTTTTTTCTACAGGGTGGGAATTATCACATTACAAAACATTTCCTGAAAAGCAACATGGCCCTTCATTTGCAATGACTGATTTATCACAAGAATATCAAGATACCTTGGGGGAAAAAAACAAAAGGCAACCATTAAAAGACACGAGTGCAATGGATAATACAAGGACAAAGGAAAGTGAATGTGTGCAGGCCTTATGACAAGCATATATGAAACTGGCAGAGTTACCTGGGGAATATGGGGCTAATGCAAGAAATCTGTCCCTGCAAAGAATCCAGGATGTTTTTCTGTGAACAGAACTGTAAAGGAGAGTTAGATTGTATGTGCCATTTTGGAACAGATCTGAACAAATTCCTTGAGCTGTTCTAGACCAATTCCGATTTGATTTGGGATGGATGAGGTATTGTGCCTCCTTTGCAAAGAGGAGGTAGAAGCAGGCTGAAGAGGGTTATAGATGGCCGCCTTGAACCCACTCGTGGGCAATCAAGGGCTAACCAGGAGGAGCACGTTAAAAGGACAGAACTGATAAGATGGTTGCTGTGATTTTCCATGAAGTTAGGGAAGAAAACAAAAACAGATTACGGAAGGAAAATGCTATATTAAATCAGCTACAACACTAAACCAATTTCATGTTTATACATGCAAAGGGATACAGATTACAGTTCAACACACAGTTGAATCTTGCTGAAATAAGTAATACTCATGTAACTGATGTAAACTAAGTGCAGATTACCATAGAAGTGTCAAGATCTGTGTGACCCAGTGTTCATTCAAATCAAAGCCTCACTGTTTTGCATATGATTATTTGTACAAACACAAAAAGCAAACTATACATTACATTTAAAGTCAGGACTGAGCTATTGACCACAGTTTGAAGTTTTATAAAATTCCAGCATTTTGAAACTGAGAACGATTACTATATTCATTGGCTAACCTTAGGCTGCATTCAAATATAAATCCTGAGTGTTCATTGGTCTCTTAACCATGACATTACTACTCTTTATTCTCATGCCTTTCCTGGGAAAAGCCTAATTTCCAATACTTCATCAATATATCAGGTAGTAAAAAAGGTAAAGGTTTTCCCCTGACATTAAGTCCAGTTGTGTCCGACTCTGGGGGTTGGTGCTCATCTCCATTGCTAAGCCAAAGAGCCAGCGTTGTCCGTAGACACCTACAAGGTCATGTAACTGCATGGAGCACCATTACCTTCCTGCCGGAGTGGTACCTATTGTTCTACTCACATTTGCATGTTTTCGAACTGCTAGGTTGGCAGAAGCTGGGGCAAACAGCTTCACGCCACTCCCCAGATTCAAACCTGTGACCTTTCGGTTAGCAAGTTTAGCAGCTCAGCGGTTTAACCCACTGTGTCACCAGGGGCTCAGATATATCTCAGATATAAATAGTCTTATAATTTTGTCATACTGTTCAATCTTCACTTCTTAGCAACAGATGTCTGGACAAATGGTCTGCCTTTATCACTCTATGACCCATATACAACAGTTGTATACCCCATGGTATCTTTACTGATGCAAACTAATTGTGGATTACCATAAACGGTAGTACATACTAGTTGTATTCATCTTACCCCATCTCTTAGAATCATCAAGGCAAGGGGAAATCCATAGGGATGGGAGCACAGAACGTACAGATAAATTAATAAGGATGTCAGGGCCCAAAAACATAGTGTTCATCTGGGCTAAGTAATGATGGGTAACTTTTGTAAGAGCTTTTTTGAGCACATAGTCAGTTCCATAGCATTTTTTCCCATTCACAAATTGGGTGGGTTATAACCTATGGGTCTGACAGATTTATATTTCCACAAAATGGAAACAATTTACCAATCAGGAAATGATGTCTCAAAGCTATTGAGGAACAAATACAAAATTATGTTGCCAATTGTTATCACTCAAATGAAAATATAAGTCTTATTCTAAGGAAATGGTAGCAACTTGCTTGAAATGACAATGTACAAGGTAGACAGACAGGTAGATGAAGAGGCATAGGATGATGTATAACATTTTTTCTTGTAAGTGTTTGAGCCTGCTGATGAGTATGTAAACAAGGATGTAAAGCTGTGCCATTTGGACTTTGCTTCACTCAACAAAATGCACTCAACTCATACAACACATTGGACCCTCTATTATTGGATCTTATTCCTCGGAAAGGAAACATTTTAACACAAAAGTGTTACATTACCAGTTCGAATTCCAAGGTTCAATTCTCTTTATTGTGAATATATAAGGGATATTAATTCTTTGTAAACCCTTCTCTGAGCACATCTCTGCATACATACAGAATGGCTTCTCCACTTCCACTTGCAAGATGCACAGAGTTTGGAAGTAATTCAGCAGGAGCATCTTGGAACAAGTTACTTTAGCCACAGCGAACACTTCATACTTGTAAATATCACTTCAGTATTTATTTAATTGATTTGTTTGTTTAGTTTTAATCCATTTAAAATCCATGTTGATTTCTCTGACCAATATTCAAAAAATAATCCCAAATTAAAAACGTGGAGTTATGTTGCATTAAATGAAAGTTTTATTAAATCATTTTAAGCTACATAATTACTAAAATGCATTTTTGCATGGCCTACTGTACCATAATTTTGCTAGCAAAAGAAAAATTAATTATCTCTCCAAGAAGCCCTTAAGAGCTGACATTCAGAATTCACCTTGAAACAGGTTATAGGGGGAACGCAGTCCTCTGCCACAGTTCCCACCCCAAGTTTTGGACTTCTATCGACTTCCATTAATCTGTTTCCTTGGGATTTAAAAAATTATTTCAAATGTTTGGAACAGTCCGTACGACCACTAGATTCTTTGTATCAACATTGCATCATGTATAATTTTTAGCAGAATTTGAAAATGGATGTGTTTCTTTGGTTAACAGTCAGTATAGAAATATATTCACATTAAACTCTTCCTATGAATATATCAGATTTGGATTATTTTTGAATATCAGAGAAATTGTTATCCCAAAAAGTGGAAGTTCAGGTAAATGACCTCTTATTACTTGAGCTTTGGAAACAGGAAAATACTTCCTGTAGTACTGCCAAATTCTCATTTCCCCCCACCTCCACATAATGGGCTCAAGATACCAGAATTTCCACTTCACCCTCGCCTAGGGCTTAGAACTGGGTTCTGGGACTGTTATTTAATCAAGGACTCTTCCCCTTCCGCCCTGATATCCATCAGCAAACACTGTTTCCTATGTTAATGAGTTTCCACAGGCAGAAAGGGGTGGAGTGGCTACAGAAGGCAGGTTCAAGAATTCTTCTAATGAATGAAATTAATTACTTAATTAAGTTTCCCACCACACACGTTACACAAATAAGACAGTGGGTCGTACTTTGTACCAACCAGAGTGATACCTATTATCTCAACAACAATAAGGTGGGATTGTTTTTAATGTATATGTGTTATGTTGATAATTTTATGCTTATGTTTTGTTTACTCCGTATGTTTTTTGTGTTTTTGCGATTTGGAAATCGCCCTGAGTCCCTCAGGGGAGATAGAGCGGTATATAAATAAAGTATTGTTGTTGTTGTTGCTGTTGTTGTTGTTGTTGTTGTTGTGAACCAATAAGATTACAGATTGTAATTTACATCAATCACAGCAGATGTCCATTCTTTCAAATGTCAGTAAAATGTCCATTCTTGTAACTTTGATTTATGCCTGATCAGGGAAACATTCCCTGGTATCTTTCCTTGGCCAACCGAAGTAGTAAAATGCCCTCAGACCCTGCCCTCCACCCTGCATGTCTTCGCTGGAATCATTCAGAGCTCGGCACACCAGAAGAACCCCAAGATTTCAGACAACAAATTCAAGGAGAAGAAAATTGTAGCAACCTTGCTAAAGCTGTCCATTTCCAATCTCAACAAGAGAAATGGCAGAATATGTTTGTTCTAGTTCTAAAACTACTCTGTAATTACCATATTTCCTCAAATCTAGTGCTCATTTTTTTGGCTAAATTACATAGCCAAAAGTGAGGTTTGATGGCACATTAGAATCTCCACAAACCCACCTGAACCTATCTATCAGGATGAGGCTATTGAACTCGCCAGCCTCAGCCTGAAGGAGGGGCATGGCTTCCCAATCTCCCAAATAACTCAATTTAAGGCCCTGCTGATAAGATTTGTGCAAATATCTTGCTGCCAGTCTCTGTGAGGTGCAAGCCATCCCTTGTCAGAAGCCCTACTTTTTAAACCTCAGACCATGGTTCATGAAGCCAGTTTATTCCTGGCAGCAACATCTCAAAGACAAGTTATTAACTTCTATTATCTTTCTCTCCCTTCCTGGCCCTGAGCAACAAAATGACGACCTGAGCATCAAGACTCTTCAGCTATAGCTTCATAATCTAATGTGATTTCCCAAAGACTATGCCTTGCAGTGTAATTGGTTCCCACATGGACCAAAAGGAAGAGGTAATGGTCTGTAGACTTGAAAAGCCTTGTCAGCCTCTCTGCTACATCTCAGATTTTTGTTCCATGGAGATGGCACATTTCTCTAGTCATGCTATTGATGCCATCTCTCTGTACCTCTCAGCGGGGAGACCCCTATCACCACTATGCAAAATAATGAGATCGGCGGACAGTTTTCTAACTGGAGCACCATATCATGAGAGGACAACTCCCATGCTGTGGCAGCACCACTGGTTGCTGGTCCACTTCCGGGCTAAATATAAAGTGCTGGTTATTACCTATAAAGCCCTAAATGGTTCAGGTCCAGGCTATTTGTCTAACTGCATACAGACCATCCCAGGCACTGCGGTCAACAGAAGAGGCCCTCCTCTCGATCCCACTCCCATCACAAGCTCAGTTGGTGGGAATGAGAGAGGGGGCCTTCTCCGTGATTGCTCCCCATTTCTGGAACTCCCTTCCTAAGGAAGTAAAAACAGCCCCTACCCTCCTCTCCTTTAAGACACTTCTAAAAACACACATGTGTGAGAGGAGGAGGACTAAAACACGTTACCCATTCGGAATGCTGGCCAATTCCATTTGTACTATATGGCTGCCACGATACATCTTAAAGGAACACAATCGCCAGCCATTTTTAATGTAACTGTATTTTAAACTGTTTTGAAGGTATTTGTTGTAATGTTTATTTATGTTTTAGTTAATTATGTCTTAGTGACTATTCTGTTATATTTTTATCTCAGTGTTTAATCCTTCGTGGTAAACTCACTGTTATTATTGAGCTCTATCATGCATTTTGATATATTTTGTACTCACTTAGGCATTGAATGTCTGCCTTCTTATGTATAAACTGCCCTGAGTCCCTTGGGGAGAGAGGGAGTTATAGAAATAAATTATTATTATTATTATTATTTCATAATAAAAACAGCCAGCACCTGGCTGAGACAACTTTAAAGGCTGATATTTCAAACTGAAAGTATGTTCAAAGTTCACATGTAGCTGACGAACAAAAAAAGGGAAAATAATTAATTTCACTTTGCTAACTTGAAGGATAACTGCTATGTACAACTGAAAGCAAAGGCACACACCAGTTGAGTAAAAAACTGAAGAAGAGAACTTTGAGAAACACTAGAACATACTCGCTACGTGCACACACAGACCAAACCCCCAGTATCATTGCTTACAATACAATATGTTTGAAAAAAAAATCATAAATCAGGGAATCACTTACTTTGTAGATGATTTTAGGTCACCCACAGATTTGGACTCGCCAGCGTTGTTGAAGGTTTGCAGGTTTTCTGAGTACAGATTTACTGGACTATTGTACTGGGCAGTGATGACTTTAGAGGAAGTACTGGTGGCACCAAATGGCATAGCACTCCTGTTGTGTGCACTTCCTATATTGCTTACCTCCTGCAAGCAAGAAAGCAAAGACAAAAAAATCAGAAGCATTTTGGCAGGCAGGCAGCAAGTGACAGGCAACTGTACAAGTGCCCTCCTCTGGACACATCCCAGCTTGTCAATATTTCCCTTCAATTGTCAGGTGTGGTCTAACCAAAGTAGAATAGAGGGGTAGCATGACTTCCCTGGATCTAGACACTATACTCTATTGATGCAGGCCAAAATCCCATTGGTTTTTTTTGCTGCCGCATCACATTGTTGGCTCATGTTTAACTTGTTGTCCACGAGGACCCCAAGATCTTTTTCACACGTACTGCTCTCGAGCCACGCGTCCCCATTCTGCATTTTGTTTTTTCCTGCCTAAGTGGAGTATCTTGCATTTGTCACTGTTGAACTTCATTTTGTTAGTTTTGGCCCATCTCTCTAATCTGTCAAGATCGTTTTGAATTCTGCTCCTGTCTGGAGTATTGGCTATCCCTCCCAATTTGGTGTCGTCTGCAAACTTGATGATCATGCCTTCTAACCCTTCATCTAAGTCATTAATAAAGATGTTGAACAGGACTGGGTCCAGGACGGAACCCTGCTTGTGGCACTCCACTCATCACTTCTTTCCAGGATAGAGAGGAAGCATTGGGGAGAATCAGCCTCTGGGTTTGTTCACTTAAACAATTACAGATCCACCTAACCACAGTTTTGCCTAGCCCACATTTGACTAGTTTATTTGCCAGAAGGTTATGGGGGACCTTGTCGAAGGCCTTACTGAAGTCTAGATACGCTACATCTACCCAGCCTGTAACTCGATCGAAAAAAGAGATCAGATTAGTCTGGCATGACTTGTTTTTGATAAATCCGTGTTGACTATTAGCATTTGTTTCTAAATGTTTGGAGACAACTTCCTTAACAATTTTTTTCCAGAATCCTGCCTGGTATCGACGTGAGTCTGACCAGACAGTAATTTTTTGGGTTGTCCTTATAGTTTCCAGACCTTTGATCATTTTAGTTGTCCTCTTCTGGACACCTTCCAGCTTGTCAATATCTCTCTTAAACTGTGGTGCCCAGAACTGGACACAGTATGATTCTGGGTGAGGTCTAACCAAAGCAGAATAAAGAGGCACCATGATGTCCCTTGATCTCTAGAAATTATACCCTTTCTGATTCAGCCCAAAACCCCATTGGCCTTTTGAACTGCTACATCATACTGCTGGCTCATATTCAACTTGTTGTCCACTAAGACTCTGAAATAACTCAGAGGTGGTTTTTGGCTGTTTCTTCCTCTGAAATATAGCATTTCTTGACAGTCTCCCATCCAAGCACTATCCAGGGCTGACTCTTAGATTCCAGGATGACACTAGATCTGGTGTCTTTAGGATATTTGTGCATATTCTGGCAGAAATATGAACTTTGAGATCTAAATAATAACTCATTTTTTTCCTCTTACTATATGCGCAGGTATAAAAAATTCAAGAAGCCTCCATTGTCCTTTTTCCACAGTTGTAACGTATTTCGCACCTATTTAAAAATATCCATGTTGAAACAATAGGTAATCTAAAGTCACCAGGCATTTCAGAATAGACGCAGCTAACACTGCCTACTTCCTGCCTAATTGGCCTTGCCAACTGCTACTGCTTTATCAAATGTCAACTGACACACCCAACGTTTTGTGTGCACTCTTCCATGGGAACAGATACACAAAACAGCAACAATTACCTCATCCCTAAAGAATGTAACAGGAAAGCCAATTCATGCAGTGGCCTGATTGAAAGTCACCATGACGTCAGTTTGGCAAAAATAAATTAAGGCTGAGAGACTATCAAAAGCAATGCCACACTTATTTTCCCTGGGGGAGACTAAGGGTAGGTAGCTGCACTCATGAACAATGTGTAGGCACTTAGTCAGACACACATATCCTCCTACATAAGATTCAGGACAAAAGAAGAAAGCAAGCCAGGACTGATCAGCCCTTAGGCTGCATTAAAGAAAAAGAGAGGATCCTCACCCTTCAATGAAGAGTAAAAATAATTAACCAGGCTGCTAGAATCCATGGGGATACACAACAAGGTGCTCTGAAATACCTGATTTCCATGATACTAACCTAGAAAGGTTGAGATTTGATCAAGGGTGTGCTCGTGTTTTCTGAATTTGCATTTCATAGAATCACAACTGAAAGAGACCACATGGGTCATCCTACCCAACCCCTTACCATGAAGGAAAAGCACAGTTCAGGCCATCTAGCCTCTGTTTAAAAGTCTCCAAAGAAGGAACTTCCACCAGACTCAGAGGCAGTGAGTTCCACTGTTGAACACAGCTCTCACAGTCAGGAAGTTCTTCATAATGTTCAGGTCGAATCTCCTTTCCTGGAATTTGAACCCATTGTGCTGGGTCCTAGTCTCCAGGCCAGCAGAACACTGGTTGTATGACTCTACTATATTCCATATTTTTATACTGCAGTTGGGGAGAAGCAAACATTAACTGAATACATGAACCTAATATATCTAATATAATTTCAGTATTTTGATATTGAAGACTGAAATTTGATTAATTCTCAAAAATACTGTGATTTGCCTTTTAACAATTAAAATACTAAACTATAAATTGCTATTGAATTTTTAACAAATTGGGGAAAATTACTTCTAAATGCATACCTAGACCCCTGCCCATCCTGGCTTTTAAAGGAAAACAGAGGGGGATTGGCCGAGTGGGTGAAGGTGGTGGTTAATGCCTTCCTTCGGAAAGGTAACATTCCTGCGAGCTTAAAACAAGCTGTGATAAAATCGCTGTTAAAATCGATACCATTGACCATAGTATCCTTCTGGGACGCCTCATCGGAATGGGCCTTGGAGGCACCGTTTTGCAGTGGCTCCAGTCCTTCCTAGAGGATCATTTCCAGATGGTGTTGTTGAGGGGCACCTGCCCGACCCCAGAACCATTGTCTTGTGGGGTCCCGCAGGGCTCAATACTGTCCCCCGTGTTGTTTAACATCTACATGAAGCCACTGGGAGATATCATCCGGAGTTTTGGGGCGCGGTGTCACCTGTACACAGATGACATCCAACTCTGTCATTCTTTTCTACCTGCTACTAAGGAATTGAAATTAAATCCAGACAAGACAGAGGTACTCCTGGTCAGGGCATAGGGTTACAGCCTGTGTTGGATGGGTTACACTCCCCCTGAAGACACAGGTTCGCAGTTTGGGTGTGATCCTGGACTCATCGCTGAGCCTTGAACTCCAGGTTTCGGCGGTGACCAGGGGAGCATTTGCACAGTTAAAACTTGTGTGCCAGCTGCGTCCGTACCTTGGGAAGTCTGACTTGGCCACGGTAGTTCACGCTCTGGTTACATCCCGTTTAGACTACTGCAACGCTCTCTACGTGGGGTTGCCTTTGAAACTGTTCAGAAGCTTCAAATGGTCCAGCAGGCATCAGCCAGGTTACTAATGGGAGCACACAACTTCGCTGTTGAGCCAGCTCCACTGGCTCCCAATTTGCTACCGAGCACAATTCAAAGTGCTGGCTGTAGCCAACTTACCTATCCAAATGTGTTTCCCCTTACAAAACTTCCAGGAATTTAAGATCATCTGGGGAAGCTCTGCTCTTGGTCCTGCCTGCCTCACAGGCGCGCTTGGCGGGAACAAGAGACAGGGCCTTCTCAGTGGTGGCCCCTTGGCTGTGGAACTCCCTTCCTAGGGATATTAGATAGGCCCCCTCTCTCCTGACTTTTAGGAAAAGTGTGAAAACCTGGCTCTTTGAGCAAGCGTTTGGAACCTCATTGTAACTAGACAACTCAGTTTTGTGAATGAATATAGAACGGCTTAATGATACAAATGGATATGGATTTTAACCCGGATGTCATTGTTCTTTATGGTTTTAAACTGTTTTATTATGAATTTTATTATGTGATTTAACCTGTTTAAATGATGTATTTGTGTGTATTTGGCATCTAATGTTGCCAATCTGTATGCCGCCCTGAGTCGCCTTCGGGCTGAAAAGGGTGGGATAAAAGTGTAGTAAATAAATAAATAAATAAATAAATAAATGTCAAGGTCAAGAAGACCATGCCTTGTGATGATGAGGAAAGGGATGAAGAATGAGGGAAGAGAGACTTTAAGAAAAGGATGTGTGACATCTGCATCTGAGGCTCTCTAGGGTGCTGAGCCCTGGACTTATCTCAGCAGCTTTTGGCATGGCAGCACCTTAAGATACAGTAACAATAATATGGACCTTGAGGACATTATGCAGAATTTGGAATTGGATCAAAACGAGAAGGTAGTACATCTCTTGAGTCCAGAGTGTGTTGGGTCCAGGGGCCTACAATTTGTCCAGGACTTGTCAACCACACAGATTGCAAAAAATGGCAGAACTACAAAATCCCACAAGTGACCAGATATCCATTTTTGCCTTGAAAAACATTTTTTGTCAAACAGTGGAAGTATTTAAAATGTGTTTGGCCACTCCTTGAAGCTACCAGGAGGAGCAATTCACCCACCACCCTTTTGGGGGCAGACTTTCCAGTTGATATCCTGCAGAGATGTGCTGAACTAGAGCCAAGGAACCTGAGACGCAGATCTTTATGCCGGGAACAAACTGATGAAAAGGAACCAATTATGGTACCTACCTGGGGTTCAGAAGACAGATCCATCTTGTATGGATTTGTTTTCCCTTCCTCAGTAACCAGTGGTGACCAGATTTTTGATTCACTCCTGCAAGAAGAACATCTAATGGTCAGCTTTGGTGTTCTCCATATAAGTTTCACTAAATACAATACTTGTGTTTCACAGTCTCATGAACTGCAATTCTCCAGAATCCAGAGGTTGTCTGGGATGCTCACGGTATGTTGTACTTCGGAGTTGGCCTAAGTAGACCTTCCACGTCTTAGAAATATTGTGCTAAAATGGACCCCAGAGACAAAACTATGTTCTTATTTCAGTTATTTCAACCACGGCATATCTTATACAGTATGTGTGCAAAACTATAACTACTAATGCAGTTCTACCTACCCTATTATTATCACTACCATCACCATCTCCTTATTGCAATCAACAGATTATTAAAACATATACTAACATATACATGTTAGACCCAGCTTCTGCCAAACTAGCAGTTTGAAAACATGCAAATGTGAGTAGATCAGTAGGTACTGCGTCTGCGGGAAGGTAACAGCACTCCAAGCAGTCATGCTGGCCACATGACCTTGAAGGTGTCTATGGACAATGCCGGCTCTTCGGTTTAGAAATGAAGACGAGCACCATCCCCCAGAGTCGGACATGACTAGACTCATTGTCAGGGGAAACCTTTACCTTTACCTTAACATATACATTTGAATAAATTCTGCCTGGCCTATATTACACATAGAAAATATAAATTATATTTATTAAAAATATGAAATATAATAGCCATAGAGAAGGCAAATTTAGTGAATTAAAACAACCAAATGTAAAAACTTGCTGGATGACTGACATTTCACAATCCTGGAGCTGTCAGGAGACTGAGTCTTTACATGTTTTATTTTCATTTTTTAGGGAAGATGCTTGTTTTGGCTATACACTAGATGATGAATTTCACCATGCATTTAAGCATGTGTGTATATTCAATCTGATGAGGATGGCACTTTCTCTCATTCCCTCAGAATTATTTATCTTGACCTGGTAGATTTATGACCAGCTGGAGAGGAAATTTATAACTGCCAGAAGCTGTAAGGTCTTTCCCACGAGAGACATAGCACAAAGGGGGTGGAATGGGGGATGAGATTCCTGTGATCTTTTGATTAACGGAGGAACAAGGAGGGAACCTCGTGGAAAGTAGGAATATTTTTGCTAATTGACAAATGACGTGGAAGCCCACAAAAAAGTTGAAATGCTTAACTTATAAATGTATTGTGTGTAGCTATTAATTTTTCAGACCTAGCAACAATTATTAGCCCATATTTTAGCTATTTTTGTTACCTCCCAGCTTCCATAGCAATGTAATAACAGTGATAGAGTATATGCAAGATAGACACTACTTTGAATTTTTGTTTGTTTGTTTGACTGCAAGTCGCTTCTGGTGTGAGAGAATTGGCCGTCTGCAAGAATGTTGCCCACCGGATGTTTTGATGTTTTACCATCCTTGTGGGAGGCTTCTCTCATGTCCCTGCATGGGGAGCTGGAGCTGACAGAGGGAGCTCATCCACACTCTTCCCAAATTCGAACCTCCAACCTGTCGTCTTCAGTCCTGCCGGCACAAGGGTTTAACTCATTGCACCACTAGGGGCTCCTTTACTTTGAAATTATTATTATGGGGAAAACATCTATCATTAAGTGGAATTTTATTCTATCTACCATCTAATAACTTAGAGGAGGGAATACTAACCCTACTTTTTAGACAATTCCTTAAGAATTCTGGGACATGACATGACTGTATTATAACTTCATAGCAATTCTACAGGGGGCTAGACCTAACTAATGGTCCATCATCAACTGGAAAACTGTGAATATCTTTTGTCATATTAAGTTCCACAATTGGGTGTGAAGTTTCACCGGTTTAGCATAACTTTCTAATGATGGTCAATGAACAGCTGAACTCCTCTTCTTAAGAAAACATCTGAGTAGAAAGTAATATTTTTCTTTTTCATTGTTGTTTATAATCCTTTAAGACACAAATCTAATTTTATCTTTTTTTTAATCATTTCCTAATGATGAGACTGCATTGAAGGGGTTGCTATGCATACTATTAGTCAAGGATTTTTTTAAAAAAAAATCTGAATTTGTTAAAAATTCCACCACCACTACCATCTGCTGTCACAGGTTTGCACTGCGCAATCAGTAATAGGAATTGATCCAAGCTAATTATAAAAAGCTCCCCTGTAATTTACTCTATATGGGAAAGGACAACCAATAATAATAACTAATAACTACTACTACTACTACTACTACTTTATTCTTGCATCCCGCCACCATCTCCCTGAAGGGACTCAGGGAGACTTACACAAGGTGCCTAAAACAAGACATGACACAAAACACAATATAAAATACAATTCAATAAAACATATAAACATGAAACAAGAAGATAAAACTTACACTAAAACAGCACACGTCCATCAGTGGCGATAGCTAATGTAAACATGGCCAGGATGTAAACAATAGGGCCAGGGAATGGGAAAAGGACAGAGCTGTAACCATGGACGAGGGCATGGGATAAAGTGCAAGGCTGCATGACAAATTCATGGATCGACTAGGGATTAGGTATTCTCAAAAGCTTCTCAAAAGGTCTTCAGGTGCATACAGAAGGAGGGCAGTGTGGAGGCTTGCCTAATCTCCCTGGGGATGGTGTTCCAGAGCTGGGGGGCCACCACTGAGAAGGCTCTCCCTCTCATCGCCACCAACCGCGCTTGAGATGGTGGTGGGACCGCGATCAGGGCCTCCTCGGCAAACCTCAGAGCCCGTGCCGGTTCATAGGGGAGGATGCGGTCACGAAGATAGGCAGGACCTGAACCATTTTAGGGCTTTATAGGTGTAACCTGCATTTTGAATTGGACCTGGAAAATTATCGGTAGCCAATGGAGCTGCTTTAGTAGGGGATAGTGTGCTCCCTATAACTAGCTCCAGTTAGTTGCCAACTTGCAAATGTGTAACCACAGTAGTAACACAACGATTACAACTATCAATTATGCTGCTGAAATAGAGAACACTGTCTGGGGTACAGTAGTGCATTTTCCCCTCCCGAGGACCATATTGAGTCACTCACCCTAGGCCTCATCCCTTTATTCCTTTTTTAAAATGCCCCTCCCACCCCCAAATACCTCTCCAACACCTCCTGGGGATGTAGGAGGCCAATTTCATAATGTTTTCATGGAGTGATGTTTGTTAATGTTTTAAAGTTTCCAATTTATGGTGCCATTATCTTAGGGTTTTCCTGGCGAGCTGGTCTTTGCCTTCTTCTACAACTGAGAAAGTGAAACTTGCCCAAGGTCAGATCAATGTTGCACAAATTCCTCAATCATGGCTGGAGATTTTTTATTACGAGGAATGCCTCAGGATCCCGAGGGCCTCAAAATCAACCTTTAGAGAATGTGTGAAGCCCATGGGCCACACCTTCCTTACCTTTGCTTTACAACAACTAGTACTAGAACACCACTCAGTTCTGGTACTCAAAAATAAATTCCTGGGCTCAGGATTCCTTAGGTGAAGGCATACTGTACCCAGACTGATATTGGAATTCTAGTAAAATCCAACCAGATCCTTAACCTACCTTAGAAAAATGACATTTATTCAATTGGGGTGGGGTGGGGTGGGGAGAGAGAAAGAATCTTTACACATATCTAGGTGTAAGATTTGTGGAGGAAAGGTATTGGAATCAATTTGAGCATGAGAGCTTCTTTGGATTCGTTACAAAGTCATACAAAGCTGCATAAGGCATAACAAACATTATCTAGTCATTCTGATTTTAGATTACATCTCAATACATTAGGCGGAGGAGGACGTGGTGGGTGTTAAACCATGGCAGGAACAGATGGCAAGATGTGAGGCATAATATATGCTATTTCTACAAAAGTCATGTCTCATATAGAATGCCACTCTTGGATCAAAAGAGAATACAGATTTTTCTAAAAGCCATATTGCCATAGTAATTATCTGAATGCCACACAGGCTGATCTGGGGAATATTCATGTCATCATGACTCTTCTTCTAAGGTAAAATACAAAAGAGAATTCTCTGCAGAAATAATCTAAAAATAAACTCTCATATATAAAATGGTAATTAAAACCTAGCATGAAATTCATTTCTACATGATAAAAAGGAGGAAGGGGAGGAGAGAGGGGGAAAAGAAAGAAAGAAAGAAATGTGACAGAATTGTTAAGAATGGGTTCCTGAAATCTGAGTCTTTATGGATAATTAGCCTTAGAGGTACTCCCACATTTCTTTTTTCTGCTCTGCCTTCCTTCTTTTTTTTGCTGCAAAAGATTAATGCGCCTACTTCTTTGCTGCAAAAGAATAGCACACCAGTTTCTAACTTTTGCCGTGCATGAGAATTTTAAGTATTTATTTATTTATTTATTTATACACCGATTTTTCTCACTCCTGGGGAAACTCAAAGTGATTCTCAACATACTCCATGGAAAAATTCAATGCCTTACATGTTTAAAACATCACATATCAAATTCAAACACATATAACAATAGTAAAACCATTAAAACTACAAATAACAATCACAAACACTGAAACACAACATAAAACATTTAGGTCTTGCATCGATCCCGAGATTATCTTAACTATTTCCATATTTCAATACTCCTGTCATTCACCAAATGGCTTCTTGAACAATAGGGTCTTAAGTTGTTTCCTAAATACTAGGAGGAAGGGGATGGATCTAATCCCAATGGGGAGGGAGTTCTACAATCGAGGAGCCACCACCGAGAAAGCCCTGTCTCTTGTTCCAGCCAATCACAGCGGGGCTGAGACCAGGACCTCCCCAACAGATCTTAGTGTTCTAGCTGGCTCATAAAGGGAGATGTTTTGGGGCAGGTAAACTGGACCAAAACCATTTAAGGATTTATAGACTAAAGCCAGCACTTTGAATTGTGCTCAATAGCAGAATGGCAGCTGATGCAGCAGGGGGGTTGTGTGCTACCTGTACATCGTATGGTGAGCAACCTGGCTGCCGCCTGTTGAATTACTTGAAGTTTCCGAACAGTCTTCAAAGGCAACCCCCATAATCCCAATAAATAATATTAAGTCCCATATTTGTGATTGTTTGGATGCAATTCAGATTAAACACTTAACATCTGGTTTTTTTTTCTTGATTGACATTTAAAAATGCTATTTGCCACACAGAAAAAAGATAAACACCTGAACATTATTATCATATAGGGCAATCCAATAAGATTGCCCAATGTATCACTGTTTCATCATAAATCAATAAATCAAGCAATGGTACATGGTCCTTTTTCTCTCTTATGCCAGACACTTGGTCCAGATCATGCATGCTGAACTATGAAGAATTAATTAGCAAAGTTTTGGATGTGCAGGGTTGAAATTTGATGATAGAAAGGGACTGTTGCTTATACGTCTCAAGACGTTTACGAGCAAAATAATCAAACTTAGTCGGATTATTAGTTTGAACCTGCCTGATGGAGCTAGAATGACATTGGTTTTAAAATGTTCATGTTTGTTTTTGTAGGATTTTTTGTTTTATGATGTTTACTTTAATTTTATTTGTCTGTATGGTTTTTCTTTTTGATAATTGAATGTTTTGCCTTATATGTTGGAAACTGCCCTGAATCCCCTTGGGGAGATAGGGCAGTATATAAATAAATTATTATGATTATGATTATTATGATTATTATTATTTAATGGGCATAAGCTAAAACAATTTCTCAACCAGGTGTTTCTAATGCGCCGCACCCAAGATTTATGTGAAACACACAGCCAATAGCCATAAATGATAGCTGAAGTTCTTGAATCGGCCAGTCTGCTTGAATATCCATATATAGACAGACACAGAGATACGTGGCATGCCAAACTGGATTGTACAAAACGCCCTTTGACCCCAGCAAAGGAATTCTCAGAGAGTGACATGGCTATAGCAAGTCAACATGGCACGCCTTCCGTGTACATTTTCTTCTGCTTTAAAGTTCCTTGTACTGAACTTTTTCAAGAGAGTATTACATTATAAGCCAACAATGAAGTATATGACTTAGTGCCAAGTTAAAATAATTATTTTAAGAATAGTTTGCATACTACTGGGTGGTTTTATTTTCAGAATGAGTTTGTTTTCTTTTTCACTTACATTCCATATCTCTCTATTAATAACAGATCAAGAAAATGTGAATATATAGATTACTTTGTTTTTTGGTAGGGGCTATATTGGTTGCAGAACATACCTTCTCTTGGAATGGTAAATAATAGAGAGCAAGAAAGAATCCTTTGTCCCTCTCCCCCCACCTTTCTTCTCATTACATGACTCACCAAGGACTTTGCTACTTTGCTTGAACATATTTTATTTTCTGTTGAAAAATTCAAATTCCCTCTAGCTGTGAAACTCCATGGGGGTTTAACTCTGTGTTGTCTTATGTGTGCCAGATGCTAGTTAATTGTGTAAACGAGTCACAGTCTCCAGGTTAAAACAGGAGCAAATACAAAATCTTAAGCAATAGCAAAGGTCAATGGCCTGGGGCTTTTCTCGCAGACAGACAGTGGCAAAAAGTGCAGCTGGAGGTCTCTATCCAAGAGACTTGAACAGAGGTGAGAGCATGTTGCCTGATACCACCACTTCCTGACAGTCTCTAGTCACGGGAAAGCAAACACCGCATTGCCTGTGCCCACTGGCAATACACTTCGGCCAGGAGGGTTCTGATGTACAGATCCAACCAAGCCCAAATCTAAGAAGGGAATGAAGCACTCCTTGATAGCCATGCCTCTTGCTTGAGAAGCTGGCCTAGCTTGAGAATTAAATTTGATCCCAACAATCTTGTATATTTCATGAAAATTAACTAGCCAAGACCATCCAGAAACTTCATGAAGTTGTATTGCTTCAGTAATCAGGGCTGGCCAGTTTTTCCCCCCTTCAAACACCAAAGTGAGCAGCAAAACTAGCTGTTGGACCATCTTATTGTTTAGCCTGAGAGTACTGTTTGGGCAGCTCTTTCCTCCCCTTCTCTGGGCTAAAGATGTTTATGCTGTAGGCAGAAGCTGTTGTAAGTACAGTGCTACAACCGTTTGGTAACAGAAAACCACAAAATAAGAGAAAATTGGAAAGTCATTCACATTTAGTCATCAACACAACATATTTATAGCACATATCTACGTTAGTTGGACTTTGGTCTCATGTCAAGCCATATAAAGCTGTCTTTGCTGAAAACTATTCCCACAAAATTAATGTGCAAAGTTAGATAATGTTAATAGTTTCCAAAGGTTTCATTGCTTTCTTCGCAATGTGCAAGATGACAAGAAGATGCACACCGACCAAAATATATGTGCATGCTCCTACAGACAGAAAAAGACAGAAAGCATGGATACCTGCTAGTAGAAATGTCAGGTGAAAGTTATATGGCTGACATCTGATTGTTAATCCCAACTAGAGTAAACTCACACCAATTGTTAATCCCAGCTAGAGTAAATTTACACCGATTGTTAATCCCAAGTAGAGTAAATTCACACCATCTGGATGTATGTTAATTTATGTTAATGTTAATTTATCAACCATGCATTCACTAATAAAAACGAAGAATACAATTTAGGCCAGTGGTGGAAAATATAAGACCCTCCAAGTGTTCCTCAGCTGCAAGTCTCAGAAGAACTACTCAGCAAAATGAATAATTAAAGAATGCCAGGAGGTACAGTCCAACAACACCTGGCAGGCTGTGCGATTCCATCACAATTCAATCCAATGACAATACAATTTCAATGTTTATAGAATCATAGAGTTGGAAAAACCATGTGGGCCATCAAGTCCAACCCTTTGCGAAAAATGTGTTGCAGGGTTTGAACCTGTAATTTCCTGATCTCTCTGGATTGCGTGCCTAACCTACAAGGCCACTGAGATTGTTTAGTACAAATTATATATTAATATGTATAATGCTCTAGTACTGTTGTTTTTATTCAGGACTAGCTGTCTCCTACTACGCGTTGTTGTGGTCCAGTCTGTGTATGTGTGTTTTGTGTGTATATGTGTGTGTGTGTATACATTTGTATATATGTGCATGCATTGTAATGTAATTTTTGTTTTTTGGCTTTTTAAGTCCCTTCCGCTGTGTTTTTCAATGTTTTTATGAGTGATGGTCACTTGTTGGCCTGATAGGTGTATTGTGTCCAAATTTGGTATCAATTCATCCAGTGGTTTTTGAGTTATGTTAATCCTGCAAATGAACATTACATTTTTATTTATATAGATAACATTTTATTTGTCTCCATGCCTATAAGACATGCTTATAAAATTTGTGATTTGCACCAAATTGAGAAGGAAAACTAATACTCAGAGGACAGGATCAGAATCAGAAATGACCTTAATAGATTAGAGGTGGCCCAAAACTAACTAAATGAACTCCGACAAGGATAAATGTACAGGGGAAAAAAACCTGCCTTTTCCCCACCCTGGAACACAAAGTAGATTGCTAAACATGTGGGAATCATGCAGTCCTTCAGATGTTGCTGGAGTGCCACTCTAGCAGCCTTAATGAATGGCAAAGAATGCTGACAGTCATACCCCTGCATTAATACACCTGAATACAACACAAAAATCAATCACTCTGAAATATTCAATGTCTGAACTTGAATACTGAAGACCTGGAATCCTTTTGGTGATATATGTGCACATAGCCCTGGGTTATCTACATATATGTCTTCTTCGGACAGCACATAAATAGCTAATCACCTGTGCATCATTCAGCCGCTTGTGAATGGATTCTGCAGCCATTCCTGACTGGGGAACTACAGCAGAGTGGTCTCGTTTTTCTTCCCTTAATAAACAAGATGGGCATTGTCTTACCCTTAGCCTCTGAATGTATGACAAATTCACTTCACACATGACAGGGTACGAGAGAGAGATTCTGGGTGCATCTGCACTTTAAAATTAATGCAATTTAATTACCATGGCTCAACATCCTGGGATATACAGTTTGGTGAGTCACACACTCACAGAGGAGGCTAAAGACCTTATAAAGCTACTATAACGATTCTATAACAATAGTTTAAATGGTATCATATTACATTAATTCTACAATGTAGATGCACTCTGTTTTCAGAAGTTTTTCAGGTAGAGTAGAAATTTGTGAAAAGTCTAAATATTACAGGTTTGTTTTTTTGTTTTTGTTTTTTGTCGTGTCAGGAGTTACTTGAGAAACTGCAAGTTGCTTCTGGTGTGAGAGAATTGGCCATCTGCAAGGACGTTGCCCAGGGGATGCCTGGATGATTTGATGTTTTTATCATCCTTGTGGGAGGCTTCTCTCATGTCCCTGCATGAGGAGCTGGAGCTGATAGAGGGAGCTCATCTGCCTCTCCCAGATTCGAACCTACGACCTGTCGGTCTTCAGTTTTGCCGGCACAGGGGTTTAATCCACTGCGCCACTGGGGGCTCCTATATTACAGTGTAATGTGCCTCTATGTTCTACTGTTTGTATTTCAATTTCACTAAAATTTCATTGTTAAATATTTCAGTACCTTTTAATCTCAGTTTGTCTTCTTGGTTCACTGATTAAATTTCAGGTACACAATTATTTCAATTGAGTGTTCAAAACCAGGACTGGGTGTCGATTTGAATACACAGCCTAACGTTACCTTTGGTGAATGCATAGTTGTGCCTATTCATTTTAATGGGTTTAAACCGATGTAATTGTATTTTGATCTGTACCTCAGAAAGCATGACATAATTCGATAAATATAGTACTGGCATCTCAATTTCAAACTTCTTCTGTGATGAAGATACCCGAGCAAAGCCTCAGGCCATGAGGAGAATTTTGAAAAGTGGAAGACAAAAGATTTACCAACAATGTTCTTTGAAGAATTCACTTACAAAAAAGACCTGCTTTAATAGGCATCCAAACTCATGACTGCTATGTCAAGCGTCAGCAGATCATACAAAAGTAATTCCTTCAATTGCCATTGAAACATACCACATTACCTGTGAACTGTCAGAGTTAACTCATCTATGCAGGCCTTGATTTTGTTCTGTGCTTCTAGGTGAGTCATGTTCTCTGTGTCTTCACCATCAATTGCCTGGATAGTATCTCCGATGCATAAATTGGCAGTTGCAGCTTTGCTACCAGGGGTTACCTGGAATTGTGGGGAGAGACGGGGTTAAGCAAAATGGTCAAAAAACAAACTTGAACAAGTCTCATAATGTTTCTCCCTGTTCCATTATGGAAAAGAAAGTTGCACACACAAAAATTATACTTCAGTAAGGGTCCCAAAAGGTATCTCCAAACATTTCCACTGAATCTTCGATCCCCCAAATCTACTATTCTTGAATTCAGCACCCAGAATGAATACTTCAGAACTGCATCCTAATGTTGAATAAGAAATGTTGCTGATTCTTAATTAACATGGCATGTGATAACAGGAACAAAACTACTAACTTTCAAAAATATTAAGGAAAGGAACTCATATTTAATCAGAATCTGACCTATGGCAATATTATTTCATATTCACTAGATGCAGCTTTGGAGGGGTCATGTTACAGACTATGGTGAGGTAGACAATACCAGAGATTAGGATTTCATGTTCACCGTTGGAGGGCTGTCATTCCTCACTAATCCGCTTGAACTTCTATGTGCTCATAGAAGTAATTTCATGCCTTGCTTGCTGTTGTTAAAAAAGCACAGACACACACCACTAAAAATATTTGAGAGGGTGTCTGTGCTTTGTTAACAACAGCAAGTTAGGAATGAAATGACTTCTATGGGCACATAGAAGTGCAGACGGATCAGCCCCGGAGTGGCTGAACATCACATGAGCTAATCCAGTTTGACCCAGAGCAAGGCCACCTTAACATAAATTAAGCCAGATCAGTCCTGTGTGGCTGTGTTAAGTGACTTTGTCCCGCATTAAGACAAATCGGTTCTCTGTGTCATGTAGATGCCACAGAGGTGCATATTTATTTATTTACTTATTTACAGTATTTATATTCTGCCCTTCTCACCCCGAAGGGGACTCAGGGCGGATCACAGAACACATATACGGCAAACAGTCAATGCCGTTATACGCTGACAGGACAGACACAGTACAGATAGAAGTATAAAGATTTTCCCCATCTTTCAGCGTCTTGGAGGTTGTGCTTGATTCTGGCCACTGGGGTGTGGTGCTGTCGCTCCATCCTTCATCCTTCATGCTGAAGAGCCCTGTTCACAGACTACTTCCTTTTGATCGAACACAGGCAACTTCCTGTACCAGCCTATTCCAACACATTTCAAGTTCCAGTCCTCCTTTATGTATAACTGGAGTGCTAATCAACCTCTTTATCAATGGCTTCGATGATGGAATAGGAGACCCATCTATGATATTTGCAGATGACACTACATTGGTATGAATACTAATACCTCAGAGGACAGGATCAATATCCAACATGATTTTAACAGATTATAGAGCTAGGCCAAAATTAACGAAGTATAGAATAATAGAGTTGGAAGAGACCACATGGGCCATCTAGTCCAACCCCGGGACTGTGACGCAGCAGGCTAGGAGTCAGCTGCATTAAGATCACTACTGACCGAAAGGTCATGAGTTCAAAGCCAGCCCGGGTCAGAGTGAGCTTCCAACCAATTTGTGTAGCTTGCTGTCAACCTTTGCAGCCCAAAAGACAGTTGTATCTGTCAAGTAGGAAATTTAGCTACCGCTTATGCGGGGAGGCTAATTTAACTAATTTATTATGCCATAAAAATCTCCAGCAAGCATGCAAAGAATGAGGAAGTACTTCATCATTGCCACAAATGGGCGGTGATTTGACAGCTCCCCTGGTGGCCAGAATACCCTCATCAAAAAGCTGGAATTTTAAGTAGCCTCTGTGTATCTGTCTATATATGTTGTGTCTATGGCACTGAATGTTTGCCATGGATATGTACATTGAAGGGTGAAATATAAATACTGTCAATAAATAAATAAATAAACCCCCTGACATGCAGGGAAAGCACACTCAGAGTCCCACTCTGTTCTGCTTTGGTCAGACTTCACCTGGAATAATACTGCACCCAGTTCTGAGCACCACAATTCAAGAAGGATATTGACAAGCCAGAACGTGTTCAAAGAAAGGTGACCAAAATGATCAAAGGTCTAGAAGCTGAACTTTAGGAGGAGGAGCTTCAAGAGTTGGGTAAGTTTAGACAGGAGAAGAGAGGGGACATGATAGCTGTGCTGAAATATTTGAAAAGATGTCACATTGAGGAGTGGGGCAAGCTTGTTTTCTGCTGCTCTGGAGATTAGGACACTGAGCAATAGATTCACACTATGGGAAATAAAAAGGAAGAACTTTCTGAGGGTAAGATCTATTCAGCGGTGGACTATGTGGCCTTGGGAGTTGGGTGGTTTCCTTCTCTGGGGTTTTTAAATATCGATGGCCATCTGTCAGGGAAGTTTTGATAGTGTGTGTTCTGCCTGGTTGGACTGGATGGCCAGGTGGGGTGTTTTTTCCAACTCTAGGATTCTATGATTTCCATTGAGGTGAGTGGAGAAGCCAGTCAGCTCAATAGCCATTCTCAACTCCTATTCTAAGAACCTCATCACACTAGTCCAGGCATGGGCAAACTTTGGCCCTCCAGTTGTTTTGGATTTCAACTCCCACAATTCCTAACAGCCGGTAGGCTGTTAGGAATTGTGGGAGTTGAAGTCCAAAACACCTGGAGGGCCAAAGTTTGTTCATGCCTGCATTAGAGTATCCCTATCCACTTCTCAAAATGCGTTCCTCCTGGTGTTTTGGACTTCAACTTCCAGAAATCCCAGCCAGCTTACCAGCTGTTAGAGGCTGTGGGAGCCGAAGTCCAAAACATCTGGAGGAGCAAAGTTTGAGAAACTCTGCACTAAAGCATCTATCCACTTTAAATCTGGTTGCTGCCTTCTTCAGAATTCTGTGGTTTGGAGTTGGGTGTGGCCCAGGACCTCTGCTTCTGAGCAGTTGTAAAGGCCCCTCCCTATACTACAAACCCCAGAATTTTGCAGGACGTGACTACTGCATTTAAAGTGGATACCGATGCTCTAGTGCATTGGTCTTCCAGGTGATTTGGACTTCATCTCCCAGAATCCCTGATCACTGGCTAAAGCAACTGAGGCTTCTGGGAGTTGAAGTACAAAGGAAAGTGGAGGATTAGAGTTTGGGAATCGCTGCTCGATGATATCCTAAGTTGTTGTAGGTTTTTTGGGCTGTATGCCAAGGAGATTCCATCTGAACATGAGGAAGAACTTCCTGACTGTGAGAGTCACTCAGCAGTGGAACTCTCTGCCCCGGAATGTGGTGGAGGCTCCTTAGTTAGAGGCTTTTAAACAGAGGCTGGATGGCCATCTATCAGGGGTGCTTTGAATGCAATTTTCCTGCTTCTTGGCAGGGCTTTGGACTGGATGGCCCATGAGGTCTCTTCCAACTCTATGATTTTATGTTCTAGAAGCATTCTCTCCTGACGTTTCGCCTGCATCTGTGGCAAGCATCCTCAGAGGTTGTGAGGTATGTTGGAAACTAGGAAAATTGGGTTTATATATCTGTGGAAGATCCAGGGTGGGGAAAAAAACTCTTGAAAGAACCTGGAAYTGAGTGGCCCCTGTCCCCTAGTAGGGCCATTGCTGAGACCGATCCTTGCACTGTAGCATTCAGCCAGCCCCATTTTCCCCTTCTCCTTGCACTAGCCTTGGCCCAGCCCATTCCAAATAGCCCAGGCCCCTTATTGAAATCTTTGCCCCTGGCAGCTTACCTTGCATGAAGAAGAGAGTGGAACTGGTTTTAAATTGATTTTAATGTATATGTTGTGTTAACAGTTTATGCCTATGTTTTTGTTTTATATTTTGTATGTTTTTGCATTATTTTGCATATGTAGAAACCACTCTGAGTCCCCCAGGGGAGATAGGGCGGTATATAAATAAAGTTGTTGTTGTTGTTGTTGTCTGTTTGAGGCAAGTGTGAATGTTGCAATTGATCATCATGTTTAGCATTTGATGGCCTGGCAGTTTTTAGGTGTAGCTTGTTACTGCCTGGGAAAATCCTTTGTTGAGAGATGAACTCAAACACAGGGGAACTGCAGACAAGAAACAATCAGGAACACCTAATCACCTCTCAACAAAGGATTTTCCCAGGCAGTAACAAGTCCCACCTAAAAACTGTCAGGCCATCAAATGCCTGGGAAAATCCTTTGTTGAGATGTGAACTCAAACACAGGGGAACTGCAGACAAGAAACAATCAGGAACACCTAATCACCTCTCAACAAAGGATTTTCCCAGGCAGTAACAAGCCACACCTAAAAACTGTCAGGCCATCAAATGCCTGGAAAAATCCTTTGTTGAGATTTGAACTCAAACACAGGAGAACTCCAGACAAGAAACAATCAGGGACACCTAATCACCTCTTAAGAAAGGATTTTCCCAGGCAGTAACAAGCCACACCTAAAAAGTGCCAGGCCATTAAGTGCTAATCAAGGTGGCCAATTGAAACATTCCCACCTAGTTCCAACAGACAAGAGTTCTTTCTCCCACCCTGGACATTTCCAGAGATATATAAACCCAATTTTCCTAGTTTCCAACAGACCTCACAACCTCTGAGGATGTCTGCCATAGATGCAGGCAAAACATCAGGAGAGAATGCTTCTGGAACATGGCCAGACAGCCCAGAAAACTCACAGCAATCCACCTTGAGTCTCCTCGGGGACTAAGGCAGGATGTAAATATAGTAAAATAATAAATAAAATAATAAACAAGAGTTCTTTCTCCCACCCTGGACATTTCCACAGATATATAAACCCCATTTTCCTAGTTTCCAAGAGACCTCGCAATCTCTGAGGATGCCTGCTATAGATGCAGACGAAACGTCAGGAGAGAATGCTTCTCGAACATGGCCATGCAGCCCGAGAAACCGACAGCAACCCAGTGTACCGGTCATGAAAGCCTTCGACAATAAGAAAAGGAGAGAGAGGGGCGCCAATCCTCAAAGGCGCCAGAGTTGCTAGTCCCATTGAAGGCCGAAGAAGGGACTCGGGTGGCCGGGCAGTCCCTGGAGGCTGTGGCCCTTGCCTTACCCTGGAGATGGTGAGCGGCTGGTCGAAGTCTTTGCCCCCGACCAGGCGGAAGCCCCAGGGGCCCGGGCCCGGAATGGCGACGCGGAGGACTCGGCTCATGCTGCCTGCGGGGGGCTGGCTTCCTTCTCTTCTTCCCGGTGCCCGGCTTTGGCTCTGCCTCGCCTCCTCCAGCAGCCAGGGAGGCTGTCCCGGCTCGGCATAGCCCCGCCCCGGCAAGGAGGGAGGCGCCAAGGGAGCCTTCCAGACACTCCCCTCCCACCTCTTGCCCTCTCTTGCAGCAGGGCTTGCCTTCCTTCTTAACAGGAGGATGCTTGTAGGGAGACCAAGGGGCTTGTTTATAAAGCTGCTAGCCGTCCCTTGCCAGGCGCTGCTGTGGCCCAGTCTGGTCATCTGGAAAATAAAGTAACGAGAAAGTGTTGGTTTCTAATATATGTCATGTCTTGATGCTTTTGGGTAAACAGTATTTTTTGTTGTTTCCTTGTCAGTGTTGATGTAGAGATTGTCTGGTTTGCCTACTCTGGAACAGGCAACATAGAATTGTCCTCCTTTAGGGATCCCTTTAAAATCTATGACACTATTTCTGTCGTATACATATGTGTGTGCGTGCGAATAATCTATCTATCTATCTATCTATCTATCTATCTATCTATCTATCATCTATCTATCTATCTATCTATATCAGGGGTCTTCAAACTAAGGCCCAAGGGCCAGATATGGCCTCCAAGGTCATTTACCCGGCCCTTGCTCAAGGTCAACCTAAGTTTGAAACGACTTGAAAGCACACAACAACAACAACAACAATCCTATCTCATCAGCCAAAAAAACAGGCCAACACTTCCCATTGAAATACTAATAAGTTAAAATTATTCTTCATTTTAATTATTGTATTGTTTCTGGTCGTTTCTGGTCTGCGCCCTACACCACTGGAGAAATTACACTGTTTAGCTGGTATTGCACCACCTGACATCCGCCGGGAAGTAGCAGCCAATAGTGAAAGGACCAAGGCAGTGACATCTCCAGCTCATCCCTTGTTTGGGTATCAACGAGCACGTCAACGACTTAAATCAAGAAATAGTTTTCTAAGATCTACAGAGACACTCGCTGGAACACCTCAGCAAGCGAGAGTCCAAAAGTGGCAGGCTCAAACAGAACCTCAATCAATGGTTGACACCCAATGAGAGACTCACCCCTGGGCACACAGAAAACTGGGTGACTTGGAAGGCGCTGAACAGACTGCACTCCGGCACCATGAGATGCAGAGCCAACCTTAAGAAATGGGGCCACAAAGTGGAATCCACGATATGCGAGTTTGGAGAGGAGCAAACCACTGACCACCTGCTGCAATGCAACCTGAGCCCCGTCACATGCACCATGGAGGACCTTCTTCCAGAGGCACTCCAAGTGGCCAGGTACTGGTCAAAGGACATTTAATCAACTACCAAGCTTTCAAACTTTGTGTTTTGTTTGTCTGTCTGTCTGTATGTTTGTTAAAAAATGTGATACAACTGTTTGGTTTGCTCCTGACACGATAAATAAAAATAACTGTATTCTTTTTAAGTGTTTTTTTTTTTTGCACTACAAATAAGATATGTGCAGCGTGTATAGGAATTCATTCATATATTTTTTCAAATTATAATCCGACCCTCCAACAGTTTGAGGCATTGTGACCTGGCCCTCTGTTTAAAAAGTTTGAGGACCCTGATCTATATATATATGCTCTGTTTGTTTTGAGTGACATCATAACTCAAAATCCGCTGGACGAATGGCTGATAAATTTGGCCACAAGACACCTACTAATGCAAGGAATGACAATCACTCAAAAAAATTATTTTGTCATTTGGGAGTTGTAGTTGCTGGGATTTATAGTTCATCTACAATCAAAGAGCATTCTGAACTCCACCAACGATGGAATTGAACCAAACTTGGCACACAGAACTCCCATGACCAAGAGAAAATACTCTGAAACACATTTTTTTAAAAAAACAGCAAGAAAATTAATGTCACATAACAGGACATTTTTGCATTTTCTCACCAAATAAACACCATGAAGTTGGACACTTAAATTACCCTAAATTCGATGCCTATTACTCAAATCAATAGTACTTTAAATATTACTACAGCCCTCGTGACTTGTTTTCATTAGCATAATGGTATCAGTCAAGGATAGAAATTCTGCATTTTTAAGTCCAGTGATTTTTCCCTGATATCCTAAAAGGTAAAGGTTTCCCCTGACATTAAGTCTAGTCTTGTCCAACTCTGGGGGGTGGTGCCCACCTCCATTTCTCCATTTCTCAACCGAAGAGCCAGCATTGTCCGTGGACACCTCCAAGGTCATGTGGCCAGCATGACTGCATCGAGATCCGTTACCTTCCTTCAGAAGTAGTACCTATTGCTCTACTCACATTTGCATGTTTTCAAATTGCTATGTTGGCTGAAGCTGGGCCTAACAGCAGGAGCTCATTCTGCTTCCTGGATTCGAACTGCCAACCTTTCGGTCCACAAGCTCAGCAGCTCAGTGGTGTAACCCACTCCACCACCATGGGGCCCTCCTGATATCTTACTGGCTACTTAAAAGGCTTGTGTTATTTTTTAGGGAAAAGAACCTTTTGATATGATTATAGAAAGAATGTGCATTGACAGATCATTAATCATCATGTTGGCCATAATGTCAGAATACCCACAAGCGGAAGTTTTGAACCTAGTGTCATGGCCTGTCTCACTTTATGACAAAAGAATACTAAATATGCCATTGAATTGCTAACAAAAGAAGCTTCCTCCATGTGAATACTTCACTTCTTGAATAATAAGACTCCTTATACCTTATACCACTGGGGTAGGCCCTCTAGGAGGGAATCTTAGGGCCCTTCCACACAACCATATAACCCAGAATATCAAGGCAGATAATCCACAATATTGTTTACAGTCTCCCTACAGATGCTCTAGCCCAGATATGGGGAAACTTCGGTTCTCCACGTGTTTTGGATGTCAATGAAGTCCAAAACACCAGGAGGGATGAAGTTTGGCCATTCCTGCTCTAGCTTTTTCTCATTTGCCATCTCCCCCTCTGAGGTAGCCTTCCTATCTATATAGCGCCCTCTTGTGATTGTATATAAGTGCAGCAGTGTGAGACTCATGGGTCACCAATATACAAACCATTTTAAAAATAAGGCATCAAACAAAAGGGGTAGATGTTTTTAGTTTGGTTGAATAATGAAGAGCATGTGTACCAAGTTTGGTCCAGCTCCATCAAGGCATGTGTGGTACAAACATACTTACATATTTTCACTTTTACATATTTTCACTTTTAGATAGATAGAGTTCTAGGGTTGCAGATTAAACTATTGATACATTGTTTTATTTATTCATTCATTCATTCATTCATTCATTCATTCATTTATTATTTATGACATTTATATGCCACCCAAAGGGGACTCAAAGTGGCTTACAAGATATATATATATACATACAATATATTATATTATTAGAATAGTACAATATCAGTATGAAATATTACTGATAAACATTGCTGATGCAGCAGAAAAAGGATGCATAAAATAATAACAAAAAAATTATCACATCACACATTCCTATTATGAGGTTCTTGTAGATTTTATTCCTACTGTATTGTTTGTCATTTGGAAATGCTAATGCTGTCGGGGTGATGAAACTGTAGACTTTGCCTTATAGAGGATTTGTTCCCATTTTACTGGGTGGACACCAGCATTTCCCCCCCCAGATATTATTCCTCATTGAGCAATCAAGTATGCATCCTGTGGGTTCCTTGCTATTACTTCCATTCTTGTTTTCTGCATAACTCCCATGCAAAATTTGTCCTCTCCTCACATATGTTTTGCTCCTTCAGCAGGATTTGAAACCCTTTCCCTCAAAACCCCTGTGGTTCTCCATTCCAGTCCAATGTTACTTCCACATACATGGTGCTCCTTCCATCTCTATATGATCCCACACTTGTTGAGCTTCTGTCCATGTTTGGGATGATGAAAAAACTCAAACTTCTGTCAGAAGAGAACTCTCAGCTCATACGTATAGAACACACTGACAATTGTACTTAAGTGTTGGTTGTACAAAGGGGGAAACTATGAGATCTTTCTGGAGTTCCAAACACCTGGAAGCCATCAAGATGGTAAAGACTTCACTAATCTCTCTATTGGAAATGCAATAATACTATGGAAAATTATTTTCTGCTACCACTGTTGAGTGTTTGACATTCTTCCAGGACAACACAGATAACCAGCTACTTATTATTCTGATGTATATGTTGTTGAACAGACCCCCCCCCCTTCCTCTAGGTCGAAATAATACACCCTGTACCGCAGCGTAGAGTTCCGCAATTAGCAGGAGCCTAGGGTTTTGTGAATTGGCATTGTGAATGTATGGAGGAGCAGTAGCTACCAGCAGCCAGGATACTCTTTGCAACATTATCTCCCCATTTTATAGTCATATTGTTTCCAACTCCGAATAAACATACACCTTAGTGTGTTATCCTCTACTTTTGCTTCCTTGTATCTCCTTTCATCTCTCAAGTCCTTTTTCTCCAGCTTTCCCCCTCTGCAGCCGACCCAGTGGCCGCTTGGGCCACATAGCCCTCATGGCCCCACAGCCCCCAGAATGAAGCTTATTCTATCCTGTTCCCTCACACTGACCATCCTTTCACCTCCCTAGAGCCCCTTCACCAACCCTTGTTCCTGTTGGTGCCTCATTTCCCTTGGTGGAAGCCTCGGCATTCATGGATCACTGTTTTGCCCATTTAGTGTGTGTGTGTGTGTGTGTATGTATGTATGTATTTCTATGTGACCTTTCGCCCACATCTCCTGACCTGGGAACTCCCTCTAGCAGTTTTCCTGGGCATAATCTCGTCAAATAAAGGACTCAATCACCCATCACTATGGGGAGCCAGTCCATCTCTACTGTGCAGAGGACAACAAGATCCAGGGTATGGACCACCTGTTCTTTGTGCAGCTACTTGGTCATACAGAGACATTAATTACTTGGCATGACAATTCCCAACGATGAGAAGGTCATGTCCTATTTTCCACAAAAACATTTCCCTTTTCCCAGGAACAGACCATATAATCCCATCAGTATGGACAATATTTCTGCTTTGGACTCAATGGACAGCAGCATCAGAGGTTCTGGACCCATTTGCTGAGGACTCATATAGCAATAATCTTTACAATAAACCGCATGGGACCTAATGGCCCCTCATTGTTCATCCTGAAGCAGGGACAATGTGATCCAATCATAAAACTATGTCTCTTTTGTCAAAAGTTTCTATCCTGCCCCTTGTCAGTCATTGGAGAGCGGGAATCTGCATTGGGAACGGGGAATGCTCTTCTATTGGCCAGTGGGCGTCACAGTCCCGCCTCATCAGG